TGGAGATGCCCGATCTGTTTAAGCCTCTATCGGACCTGTAGGATCGGATTATTAGACACTATGTCCAATTCATCTTCACTATCTTGAAGTACTTGAATTACCTGCTCGTCCATCTCGGCATGTTGCCGCTTCTAACTCGTCCTGAAGCTTCTTACCGAGAAACTTGTAGGACTCTCTCTTCTTAGTACACACTCGAACCTCGGCCTCCTGTTGAATTGACTACTCCCGATATCAGAGGAAATTCTCATGGTGCAGTACCGAAGCCTGCAAGCATAAAGGAATGTGTTATGATTGTTTTCAACTTTAATTTTAAAATACATAATGAAAAAGACATTCGAAGTTACCCGATTCAATGCTTGTTGAGCTTCATTGAAAAGGCAGGGGATTTCCACCTTGTACATCACGGCCTGATCTTCTTCGGTCACCAAACACCGAAGCTAGCTAGCGACCCCCATGGGGGTAGAGAAAATTCGGGCATCCTCCAGGATAGAGAAAACTATCAACCACTTTCGGTCAGGGTCAATGCTCAGAACCGAGAACCGGTTAACTAACATTGTGCTCGAGAAAGACCCACTGGTTCCCGTCGATGGTACCTTCTTTGGCACCGGCAAGTCTTCGAGCTCAGCGACGTCCTCTAAGGCAGCACACTCTAACCCATCCAAGAAATTCTTGATATATACAGTCCCCTAAGGCCCCTCATAAGATCGACTTTCTACCATTTCGGCCTCATGGATCATGGCATCTAAGAATTGGGGAGACCCCCCGGTAAGGTCAATCGCCTTAAGCGTGTCTTTCGGGGCACTTTCCTCTACTTGAGGAGTATCAACCCCGATCTCTCTCTTGAACCACCTAGCTTAGGGTGGAGTGGCCTCACCCCCTTCTGGTTTGGGATCTTCAGGTAAAATTCCCTTATCGACCGCTTCATGTCGAGACGGTTCAATTTCAGCACCCACCGGTTTAGAGGTCCCTTGTATCACGACAATAGGCCACACGCGGGCTAACAGCTTGGATTGATCTTCTTCTTCTTCTTCGGACTCATCCCTTTAGATTGAGCTTGAGGATAGAGCATCGGCGCTTCCCTTGGGCTTGCGCAACCTCTTCTTCAGTTTTTTCTTTTCCAAGTTTGGGGAACTCAAAGCCCTTTTTCTCTTCTTTTTATCACCCTTCCTCGGAGCAGGGGGACTCGAGAGGCACATCCTCATCACCAGATAGAGGTCTTATAGCAATATCTTTGGGGATACCTACAAAAGAAAACAGAAACGATAATAATATGATAGCGCAAGGAGGAAATCAAACGTTATTGCATCAGAAAGAAAACTTACCACGATTACGGGCCTCTCACCAACCCTTCGACAATTCGCTCCATGCGTGATCGGAATATGGTCTCTGTGACACTAGGCCCTCGACCCACTCTTTGAATTGAGGAACTGCATTCGGCATCCGAGACACAACTGCATCACAAAAATATCGATAAGAGGGAAGGAAAGGGAAAAAACAATAAATAAAGCCTTTAAGGAGAAGATATACTTACGCTTCATGTTCCATTTCTCGGGAAATCGCATATCCTCGGTAGGGATAATGTCCGAGGTCCTCACTCGAATGAATCGGCCCATCCAGCCACGGTCCCGATCCTGATCTATACTCGAGAACGGGACCTCGGTGGCCCATCAAGCAAGTTTGATTAATCCCTCTCAAAATAGTTGGGGACTGTACAGGCGCATAAGATGATCGAGGGTGAAGGCACATCCCTCGATTTTGTTTACGAAAAAACAAAAAAGAATCACTATCCTCCAGAAAGAAGGGTGAATATGACCGAGGGTCACTTCATAACTTTTGCAGAAGGCAGTAATGATAGGGTCTAAGGGACCCAACGTGAAGGGGTAAGTGTAAACACTTGAAAACCCTCCACGTGGGTAGTAATTGATTCCTCAGGCGAGGGAACCACCACGTATTTATCGGCCCAGTTACAATCCTCTTTGACCTTGGAGAGGAGATCATCGGTAATTGTAGATATATACATCGAGACCATCTCACATCGACCCAGTACCGAAGAAGTTTTTTCGATCTTTAAATCAGCACTGATTGGGCACCCTCCTCGAATGAACTCTTCAGGGAGTGGCTCCGCGGAAGCCCATGATGAAGAGGCTTTTTCTTTCAGTGGAACAGTCTTAGAAGTTTTCGCCATTTTAAAGCAGAGATGAAGACAAGAAGAAAGTTACAAAAGGTTTAAGAAATTTGGACACAACAGTTGGAGAGGGAAGAGATTCTTAAAGAACAAAAGTAGAAGAAGATTTTTTGAACATAAAGTTTGAATGAGTGAAAATTGGGATATTTAAAGTTCCCTAATGATGGTTCAAAACCACTAGTGCCCAACCAACACTGACACACATTTAATGCCTTGGAGATTGGACCGAGGGGACATTTCAATGATCTTTTGTCGCTTATGTCATGATCTATCGGAACGAGGTTCGGAAGTTCATATCCTTTCTCGTCATCTTCTCTCCGAAAAATTAGGTGACTATCTGTATACAGTCAAAACCAGGTTCATCCATTGTTTGACCAATCATGGCTGAAACATGGCAGGCCAAAGCTCGAGCTCGGATTATATCGAACCAAGGCACAAAATTAGATCGTCGAGCACGTGACCTAGAGACCGAGCAAGATCGAGGAAAATTTACCGAGCCAAATGACGGAAAGCCAAAATATCCGCAATCGGTCGAGGATTAAATCTCGGCACGTATCAAGAAGAGGCCGATTAATTAGCAAATCATGAGATTCTTTACCTTGTATAGAATTGTACCATGAGTAGAACACCCCCATTATTTAAAGGGGTTCTGATCATTTGTAAGGCACATTGTGACACGCAAAAAGAAAGCAATATACTGATCATTTCTAGTTATTATTATCTTGTTATTCAGTTCTAATACTAGTTGAGACATTTTTTGACTCGATGGTGATCAAACTCAGAGGCTAAAACTGTTCAATTTTGTGGTTTGCATTTATTTTATTATTATTAATTTCAATATTAATTCATCTTCTTAATTTGTATCAAGTTATATCACGTATCCTTAAAACCGCGTATAAATTCAATTGTTTATTTAATTTGAAGGGTAAACAATTATTGTATTCGCTATCCGCTTCAGATACAACGACGAACCTCCATTGACAGGTGGTACAAGTGGAAAGAGGCTCTTTGAGAGTCAAAAAGTTTCGAAATTGTGAATTCAAAAATTGGATTTGATAAATTATTTTTTGTTTGAATTATGTGTTATTACAAATGTTTGGGAGTATTTTTTGAAGTTTATCTCAATTTGATAGAATCCAGTGAAGATTTGAATTGTTTTGAAACTCGAAGAAAAAAACATAAATAGAACGTGCATATTTTGTAAATTGTGATGTATAAATGGCGTGCAAAATATATACAACTAACATAATTGTATACAATTTATATATATATAGCTTTTGATCTAATTCTATATAAAAATAATTGTATACAAATTGTATGTAGATGGTAGGTTTTGATCGAATTTCATACAATAAAAAATTATAGTCTAAGTTATACATAATTAATAGCATTTGACCAGATTTGTATATTTTTTGTAAAAAATATTAGTTGTTTTCTGTAAATAAGAAAACCTAGCTAAAAATAGATAAATAAGTTTAAAATCTCGAATATATAAGAAAAAATTCCATACATAAACACCACTTTTATTGCCCCATATGGCCTTTTTATATTGTTCACTTCGGGTGGTTGTCTATAGTTTTACCATCTATGCATATGCGGGAAAAAAATAAATGGTCAAACATTCGTCACCTTTTCTTCTTGAGTAAACTTATATATATACTTTTTCTGGTGTGTTTATCATTTACAGTATAAAATTAACACGCTTCCTCCATCCCTTTCACCAATAAAATATTCCAAACGTGATCAGCGTTGCGTACCCATGAAAATAAGTTATCTCATAATTAATTATTTTGAGATTAGTTATTCTATCTTTCTATAAGAATAACAAAACACTATCATCCCGGAATAACTAATCTCGGGATTAGTTATATCATAATTTTATTCCGACCAAACGTAAATAAACTCATCCCGAAATTAATTATCCTTTATCTCTCGTATTAAACGAGCCCAGCGAGAAATAAAAACATAAAACGCTATCCCAACGTAGTTTATTGATGTCAAAGATTGGACCTGCTGTTTTATGTGTAATGCTGCTCGGTGGGCCGGGCCTGAACCGGACCGGACCGGGCCCGCGGTCCTAACGGGCCTGGTGGGCCTGGTGGGCCGGTCCTGGGTGGGCCGGTCTTGGTGGGCCTCTGAGCCCGTCACGGGCTGGTCTCCATGGTTGAGCCCACGAGCCCGGGACCGTTTGGCCCGGGACCGGCAGGCGGGCCTGGGCCGGTCCTGGCGGGCCTGGCGGGCCCAACGGCTATTTTAAAAAAAAAAAAAAAAAAAAAAAAAAAAAAAAAAAAAAACCTCACCACACATGGCACATGACTCGCTAAGGACGGTCA